GCGGGGGTGGGGCTGCCTGCCCCGGCCCCGCCCCAAGGCTGGGCGGGGCTGCGCGTGTACAAGTGTGTGCATATAGGCAGGCGGCGGGGGTGGGGTGGTTTATTAGAAACGTTGTTTAAAGCGTACTTAAGGCTTATGCTGGGCGTGAACGGGGTATTAAGGCTCTTTCCAGGAAACGCTCCCAGGTGGTTTCTGGTGAGGGACTTGAGCCCTATGGTGAGGTGCTGGTGACCAGCCCCTGGTCTTGCTCAGGGCTGGGGTGCTGTTGGCCAGGGGCTGGCAGGTTGTGGTCTGTGCAGCCAGTGCATCAAGGCTGCAGGCCGGGGCAGGTAGTTATTTTGGCTGGAGGGCGCTGAGCCGGTTCTGGTGAGCTAGGAGGGCTGTGGCATAGCCCCGCCCCTCATCAGGTGCCCGCCCCTGGCCGCCGTCTTGTGGCCAGAAGGCCCCCTCCCCCACCCCTGACCTTTGCCACGGGACGTCTCCCCTTGTACCCAGAAGTACCCCGGGGGTGGAGGAGCAGGTGCCACTTTGGAACCAGTAAAAAACCCAACTCATATACTGAAAGTCAAACATCTCCTAGAATGTATTTTAATTTTATTTTTAAAAATATTTTTGTCATGAGTTGTGTTTGCACAGTGTATATAGAGGTGATTGCATAATAGCTCAAAAATCAAGTCTTACTTCTGTATTTTGTGTGTGGGGTGTGGTTGAGGGAATAAGTATATGGTGGAGACTGGGCAGGTGTGGAGGGGGTGTAGGGTATGTTGGGAGGATTGTGGGCAGGGTGTTGGGTGTTTATGGGGAGAGGTGTGGGTATCCCCCCACATGCCCATCCCCCATGGTGCACAGCTCCTGCCCCCACCAGCAGCAGGAGGCCCTCAGGGTGCTCATGGCCCACACAGGCTCAGCTGCCCAGCAATATGCAGGTCCAGCCAGTTCTGGGAGCTGCATGTGGCAGCTGGCAAGAAGCAGAGCCAGGCCAGCCCACCTCTATCGTGCAGGACTTGCATGCAGCTCTAGGGACTCCTGTGCCACCAGGGAGAAGCCCCATGTGATGCAGCTGGCTGCTTTCCCTAACCTGCTGCCATGTGCACCTGCTAAGACTCTGCTGGAAGTGGCAGGGAGCCCTGCTGCCTGCTTCCCAGCAGAGTCTCTACACCTCCCACTCTCCCTCACACCCTACAAACCCCATGCACCCACACCTTGTCCACCTGAGCACCATGCTCCCACCCCTCTGCTGAGCACCGGCTCTCGGCTCCTGCCAGCCTCAGCCCCACGCTCTGTGTTCCTGCCCAGCTGTGGCTTGTCTACTTGGTGCCCAGAGCGAGCACTCTAGCAGAGACATGAAGAGTAGCTGCTGGAAGCCGAGCAGGTCCCCTGGCAGCTGCCGCAGTGGCAGCAGCAGCCCTGCCCAGAAGCTGTGTGCTGGACAGGCCGGGGGGCCCTCCCCAGCTGGGTGGGGTACAATTAATTGGTGGGCAGCTGTGGGCCAGATGAAATTGCCTGGTGGGCCGGATCTAACCCGCAGGCCGTATTTTGCTTGACTCTGCCTTAGAGTGACCCCAGAGCCCTAGATCCTCTTCCCATGGCCCTGTTGTGTATCCACGGGCCTTTGATTGACTCTTCTCCCCTTGCAAAGCTCACTTCAACAAGCAACCTAACAGGACTTTACAGCCTAGTGGAGAACCCCTTGAACTCTTGGGGTTTCCCTGGGATTGCCAAAGAAAATGGTTCTGCTGTCCCCCTGGGAATAGGATGCCTGTTTCTGCAACTGCAGTGAAGTCATTCTTATCACCAGATGCACTGTAAGGTAGAAAATCCAAATAGGTTTATTACTAAAAATAAAAGAATACCCATTTACAGAAAGGCTGTTAGGTTTGGTAGAGAAACAGAAACACCTGCTAATTGACTTCTAACCTGCATCTGTTTCTTGGTGTTTCCAGCTGCTAGTAATTCTGCCTGCTCTTCAGGTGACCCCCATTTTCCTTGTCTGGGTTCCTACTTTTTGTGAGGCCCAGGGTAACATCCTCTCTCCCACTAATCTGTCTCCTTTGTAAATGGTAAAGGGTTTATTTGGTGCTCCAAAGCTTCAGTTCCAGCCTGCTGAAGATTAGAGTACAACTCTTCAACAGCAACACAGAATTTTAATTAAAATTTATAATTCCTTTGTCACTGTGGCTCAGTAGCTCTCCTGTCTTTTGGAAGGGCAGCTTTTGACATTAGAACACTCACTGAGAGCAAAATGTTAAGTGAATATCAAGGAAGTAATAAAAAAAAAAAAAAGAGAGAGTACCTTATAAATTAGGCATGACCAGCCTGTGGCATGTGTGCCACAAATGGCATGGGCAGCCTCTCTGTGCAGCATGCAGATCAGGGAGAAAGCAGAGAAACAGATGGGGCAAGGAGCACAGCAGCAGATCAGGTTGGGGAGGGGGATTGGAATGGTACTTGGCTAATTTGTGGCACTCCTGCCGAAGAGCTTGACCCCCACTATTGTGGAATAACTAATGGTGATCACTGTTTTGTTTAGGTCAAATTGTACTTCACCAACAGGGGAGCTTTCAGCTTTACCAGGCTCTCTAGGACAGTGTAGAATAGCAACAATAGCAGAAAGTAAAGTAATGTAGAACAGTGATGTCAAACTTGTTTGGCCCCATGGACCAAATCAGGACTGTGGTACTTCCCATGATGTGCAAACAGCAGCAGCAGCATTAATCCTTGTGGGCTGACTGAGCCTCTGTTTCAGCATGTCTCTAGAGTTAATGCTGCAGCCACTTGCTCCTCCCTTTTCCTTCCATCAATCTTACTCACCAAGGGTCACCAAAAACCCTGGTTTTGGTGGGGACAATGGGGTTGGGATCTGGAGGAAGTGAGAGACATTAACTCCCTTGGATCAGGAACTACACAGGCATGACATTGCGGCTGTGGGGGTTCAGTGGTTATGGCGGAGGTGTGGTGTGTGAGAAGCCCTGCAGGCTGAGCGACGCACCTCCATGGACCAGATCCAGCCCATGGGATGTATTTTTTTTCTCCCCAACGTAGAGCATGCAAGCTTGCATTGGATACAGAATCATAGAAAAATACGGCTGGAAGGGACCTTCAGAGGTCATCTAGCCAGAGGCAGGATAATCTCTATCCAAACCATCCTAAACATATCTATTGTCTAACCTGTTAGAAAAACTACCCAGTCAACCCTGCCACAGCTACAAGGCATGCTAACCTGCCACAGGTAAAGCAGGGGGACAACAGTAACCAATGTCCTGCTGACCAATATCCTGCTGCTGGAAGAGCTGTTAAAATATGCTTGAGGTCTGAGGAAGAGGGCCAGGTATCTCTCCCACCACTACAGAGGAAAGCAAAAACCTCCAGTCTGTACCAGTTTGACCATGGTGACCTCTGACCAATAGGTGAGACTAGAATTAGGGTGCTTAGCATGTTGTGGAATAATTTACAACAGATTTTACCATCAAGACCAGTGGGGTCAACCTTTTTTTGCAGGCAGGTATATACACTAGTACTTAGATATTCCCCACTTCCTGAATGCTACTTTTATCCCAGATTGGAGTAGAGCGATTTAAATAGGCATAGGGCTGGGTTCACTCCACTTTTACTAGGGAATAAAGGTAGTTTATTTTGTCATAAACATGTGTGCCTAAACATGCATTTGTACCAAGTTACTGCAAGCTTATCTGATAACTTAAAATATGAATAAAAAATCATCTGAGTACAACAGTGCCAGCCAACTTCAGCTGTTCAAAAACCATGAGACTCTTAAAGAATTAATTTAAAAAAAACCCTTTTTGCTTCTTTTAAGCAGACTACTTGTTTCTGAACCTTTAGCATTTGTGTGTTTAGGCTTTTTCCCATAGCTACAAGTGCTAGAATGTTTTTTGGAACAGAAGCTGAAATTTCCATATAATCACATGAAATCTGGAACCGGCACTTTATGGAAAATACCAAATATCATGAAATTCATGATAAAATAAAAAAAATGTTACAGTACTTTGACTGCTTGGTTTGAAAAGAAAACACTGATTACATTCCCTAACCTTGACACTGTTATCTCGGGGACAGTGATCTCATGATACCAAACACAATACAAAAATAATTTAATAGGAATTTATTACTCTTGTCTGAAAGTAATTTTTTCAGTCTCAGAAAACTATGCTTGTCATCCAGAGAGAGAGCTTTCCTGCCTGGCTACATGGAAAACCAAGAATGTATAGTAGTTGATATTTTGTAGCAGCACTAGAATTGTGTTCTTTTGGAGTCTGCAAGGAATAATGAGGCTGTCCTGGAGGATGTTGCCTTGCTTATCCTGAAGTGAAGGATAGTTCATATTAGCTAATGCTGAATACAGGCTGTCCTTGACTTACAATGTTTCGAGTTACAACATTCACATTTACAGCGTTTATAAATTGACACCCTGTTTCAACTTTCTGATGTCAGTTTTGACTTTACAACGCTTGATCTGATGTGATGCCATGTCAGCGAGCAAGTCGCTATGTTGCCCATCTCCCTGGAGAACGTCTGTCCAAACTTCCTTGGACACTTTCTTTAAGAAAGCAGACAAGACTCCAGAAAAACCTGCAGCCAAGACTCCTGAGAAGAATCCAGCCAAGAACCCTTCAAAAAGTCCAACCGAGAGCCCTTCAAAAAGTCCAGCAAAGTCACCTCAAAGAAGTCCTTCCAAATCAATATGATTGCTATTTAAAATATAAATACATTAATGTAGCTATGTTATTCCTCTATAATTGATTTGAGTACAAAATTCTGGGTTATTTTTGGTGAAAGCAGGGTATCAGGCCTTGGTTCAGGAACCAATCCCCCATTTATAACATTGTTTCCTATGGGAAAATCAGTTCCGAGTTGCAACGTTTCAACTTAAGACATCGTTTTCAGGAACCAGTTGTGTCATAAGTCCAAGGACTGCCTCTAATGATTCAATTTTGCACAGTGGATAAAATGCTTTGCTGATGTTGACTGATGATCAGCAAGGATCTGGGTTTTCTGTTCATCACAGAAAAACGTGGGCTTTCTCTTTTTAAGGAGAAAAATGTTGGAAGCAGCGGGTATCTCCTTGCAGGCTGGCAGAGCCTGCTAGGGGCTGGGGGGGAACTAAAGGAGGGCAGTCAGGCAGGGGGGCACCACGTGCACATGGCAGCCAGGCAGCCTGGTGAGCAGCTCCTGTAGGTAAGTCTATTGGGGGGTTAGAAATGAGGCCCTCATAGTGAGGAAGGGAATTGGGCAGGGCTGGGTGCACTGCCCAGCTGGGCTGATGCATGGGGACTGGGGCTTGGGGCCTAGGGCTGGGGCGGGAGTGCACGGCTGCAAGGCCTCACTGGGGAGGGGGACAGAACCGTGGGCGGTTTGTCCAGGGAGTATCGGGCATGTTGGTTCCCTGCCACTATGCACACTCCCAGGGGGAGAAAGGGGGCACATGCCCCCCCCCCCAGATTTGCATGTGGGGTGGGGGTGGATGTGGGCTCCCTGCCCTGCTGCCTTCCCCCTGGGGCCTTTGTAGCCCAGCAGGCAGGATCTGGCACAGCAGGGCAGAGTGGGGCAGGGAGCCATGGTGCCACTGCCGAGAGCCCCGCACCACCGTGGCGAGGCACCCCTGGCAACAGCAGGGGGCATAGCTCTGTGCCACACCTGTGCCATAGCTCTGTGCCACACCCACAGGCAGGGGCACTTTGCCAAGGCAGTGTGGGGCTTCAAGCCTCCCTGCCCTGCTCTGCCCTGCCGTACCAGGTCCTGCCTGCTGGGCCACTGAGGCCTCCAGGGGGAGGGCAGCAGGGCGGGGAGCCCTGAGCCTATAGCAGCTAACCTCTTCTCCACCCCGCCCTCCTCCCATGGGCTCTGCTCCAGTCATGCCACCCGTAGGGGAGGGGTAGCTGGGCTCCATGCTCTGCTCGGGCCACAGCAGCCGCTGCCTCCCACAGGTCGAAGCTGGGGCTCAGGCGCTGCTGTGGGGGGCAGCAGACCCGGTTCCCTGGCTCTGTAGCTCTGGCAGGTGGAGGCCCATTCCAGCGGGGTGGGGTGCTGTGGGTGGGGAGTAAGGGGCATGGCAGGGCTGAGGGGCTGTGGTTGGGGTGTGAGGGGCACCGGCAGGGCCCAGGGGCTGTGGGTTGGGAGTGAGGGGCACCGGCAGGGCTGGAGAGCTGTGGGTTGGGATGAGGGGCACCGGCAGGACCAAGGGGCTGTGGGTTGGGGTGAGGGTGGCTGGTAGGGTCAGGGGGCTGTGGCTTGGGAGTGAGGGGCAATGGCATGGGCAGGGCATGGGGATATCAGGGCTGCTCAGCACCACAAAGTGGGGGTGGGGGTGGGTAGCATTGTGGTGAGTGAAGGGACAGGGGGGAGCTCTGATTTTTTCCATGATAAACCCAAAATCAAATGCCAAAATTTATAGATATTTAGAATTTTTTTATTATAGTGATTGAGGCACCGGTAATCTTCCAAATTGCTTTAAAATTGTAAATATATCAATAAAACTTTGTATTCAACTGATACCTATATATATAGGGACATTTCATTTTAATCATGGAAAAACACTGATGTTGGGGGGCGGTTAATCAGAGAATTTGCAATTTTTAAACAGAGAAAACCAGGAACCTTGATCAGCTTGTGTCATAAGCATGATTGATAGCCCTTTTAATTATTATCTGAACTGCTATTTTTACAGCTGCTCTTATTGTATAAATGATTATTCTATTTTTTTAAATGTTATTAAATTGTAGTCTCAGTATATTGTGATAAGATCCCAAAGGATAATGAATGTGTTGCTAAACTAAAAAAGGATTTCTTCATATTTGTTTTAAAGGTATTGTCCATTTTTTAAATGAAATGATTAAGAGAGTGCACAGACCTCCCCAAAAAAATACACTTTTAAGAAAACTTCAAACGCTTAACTACATAGTGTATAAAGTCAAAAGGATTAGTTATCATTAACTAAATTGGTTTCTTGACTTAACATGGTGGTCTAAAAAAAAAGGTTAATTGTTCAGTATGGAGGTTTTTTACCATTTTAAACTGTAACTCAAAATACATGTTATGAAATAATCTACTTTTATTAAATAATGAGATGCATAATTTGCATTAAGGGAATGGATAGGCTAGACCAGGGGTTTTCGACTTTTTTTGGGTCAGTGTTCCCCGGGCAGCTGGTTGAGAAGGAAGGAGTCCCCTGGCGGTCGACGAGCGGGGGGGCTGAGTCCCCCAGCAGCTGATCGAAGTGGCGGCAGTCCAGCAGCGGGGAAAATGGCAGTGGCATTCACTGCTGAGTACCCCCGGAGGCCTTCCCAAGTACCCCCAGGGGTATGAGTACCCCCAGTTGAAAACCCTTGGGTTAGACCATAAGTTTGATATAACTTTAAAATTAACCATATATTCAAAAATAGACATATAAAGGTAGATGTGGCTAAAGACTTTATTAAAAGCAATTCTGTAAGTACAGTCATGATTAACGTCTCTTATTTGATGGATTTTTAGAAATCGTCTGTGCAGACCATAGGTGAAGAACAAATTCAGAATCCTTACACTGAGCTCCTTGTGCTAAGAGGTCATCAAGATATAGTGCGATTTCTAGTACAGATAGATGAATATCGGTAAGAGATTGTTTTTTTTTCCTGATTATTTTGCTGCATCCTTGGGAACAGGAAAGTTGTGAAAATTATGAAACGTTTCAATCTACCTCTTCTGCCAGAAACTAAGTGTATATGATTGGATAATCCAGACCTGTATTTTAATGCTCCTTTTGGGAGAATGATAGAAACATAGGGCTAGAATGGACCTTTGGAGGTCATCTTGTCCAGCTGTGCAAGGCAGGAATATGCCTATCCAAACCATCCACTACAAATTCTTGTCTAACCTATCCTAAAACTACATAAACAACTGTCTCACAACTACACTTTTACAGAATTTGATACTGATCTGCAACTCGAACAGATCAGTGATGTTCAACCTTTTGGCCCTGTGGGCCAGATGAGTGTCACAGGGCAGTCTGCAGGCTGGATTGAGCCCTGTGCACCAAGATTGGGCCTGCATACTGGATTGGGACTGCCAGCGCTCCACAATGTCCTCAGTGCACCTCATGCAGGATTGGGTCCTGTGCTGCCCCTGCCCAGCCTTGTGCTCTAGGATCTAGCCCTGGGTTCTGGGCCCCAGGCCCTTGCTGCCCCCTGGCACCAGGATCAGGGTCTGTACCACCCCTGCCTGGCCCCATGCACTGGATCAGGGCCCGTATCACCCTGTGTGCCCTATCTGGCGTGGGGTCATGGCTGCAGGGCTCCCTATAGATCCATGAAAAGCCCCATGGGCTGGATGACATGTCATCAGGAGCCAGATCTGGCTGGTAGGCTGGGGTTGAGCACCCCTTGTATAGTGCATAGGGTATGTTCTTGAGTTCTTTGGTCATATTTCTTAATATCTCTCTGTGCCTCAGGTTCCTATAACATGAGGATAAATACTTCCCTTCATCAGACAGAGGTTGTGTGCTGGTATTTGTAAATTACACTGGGATCCTTGAACATTTTCATGCCCCTTTTTGTTTGCTTTCCAATTTTTCAGTCATCTTTTTATACCAGTAACCTAAATGCTGTACAGTGCCTTCTGACATTCTACTAAGTCCTGCTTTCAGTTCAAAATTGATTTATCCAGAAATGAATTACTTTTCCTTGTAAATTCTTTCCCATATCTCCTTTTGTTATTATATGGGTACTCCCTTTGACCCGAGCAGTTAACCAGAATTCAGGCTCTCATAGATTATTGGTCATGGAATCTGGTTTCTTTGAAGCATTTCTTTTTATTTACAAGAATGCAGTCTTGCTTTCTTGAGCATAGGAAGAATCAAACTGCCCTGCTCATAGCTCCACACCTTTTTCAGCCCAAAGCACACTTTCTAAGTTTCCTCCAGGGCTACACATGGATTTTTTCTTAGTCTGTTTCTGAACTCTGGCTTTTTTTTCTTCACATGCATTTGTTTTTCTCAACACGTGTAACATGCATATGCATGGATACACATTCACCCACTTAACTCTGCATTGCTTTTATAAACATAGGAGTTTTGTGTGTTGGGTATGAAGACTGCTTTTATTTCAGCTGCTTGCTTTCATAAAGGAAGTTAATGGTGTTTTACTGTTATCCCAGATAAAAGACAGCAGTTAAATATGCTAATCTTAGTGTGGTTCAACCCAATCCACATTTTTCCACTCTCCTAGACTTTACACACCTTCTCCAACTACTTCTAGTCTTCTGGGAAGCCTTCCCTTTCTGCTATTTTTAATATTACCCAAATCCATCTATTTATAACCGTAGCCACTGTTGAAATACTGGAGCCTATAATTGTCTGGCTTCTCAGATTCTCACCTTTTCACCACTTTTGTTCTATTCATAATGCTGCTGCCAAAGCTCCCACCTCCCCATCCCACTTTTCCTTTGATTTCTTCTTGCTTCTCTTTTCCACTTGCTATGCATCTCACAGTCTTTGCTGTTCCCCTTGTTTCCTTTTTTCATTTTCAGCTCTGTGTCTTCATTGATATGGTCCCTAACACTTTCTATTATGACCTCAGTTCTTGTTTATTTATAAGATAGTCCTGTTTTAACTATTTGAGCTGAAGTTTATGCTCTAGGGAAGGGAGTTTTTTAATTCCTAGAAGAATGGTTACAAACCAGATGCAGCATGCTGATTTAGCATGGGCATTTCAAATGCAGAATTATTGAATAAATAAGGCTTGTTGCAGTTAACATTAAAGACCTGGGTTCTGCCCCCAGCTTTGCGTGAGGTGACCTTGGGAAATGTGGGAATACTTGACAGCCTTATTGGGCAGGGATCTAAAGCAGTTGTTGTCATCCAGGGTGCCGCAGCACTCTGGCATGCCTTAAGATTATTTCAAGGGGTGCCAGAGGGTGCCATATAGTGTTAGCACTGTTGGGTTTGCAAACACAATTTATAAGAGAAACTCAGAGATTTCAAATAGGCATTCAGTGTCAAAAACCTTCTGACCTGTTGTGGTGTTCCTGAGTTCCTTGCAACAAAAGAATTGCTCTATTATTTTTCTGTAGTCAAAAATTGAGTGAAAACTAAGAGCTAGCATTTTCCAAGGAGTGCCTTGAGTCTAAAAAGGTTGAAAACTTGATTTAAAATCTTATTCAATAATAATATCACTTATGAAGTGCTTGTGTGACAACTGCTTATTAGCTGACATGCCAGTTGAATTGAGGCTTTCCAGTGCTAAACATGTGAGCTAACATACCAAGTGTCTGTAGCTGGGGGGCTGTAGCAGCCATTTTTAGGTCGGACAGGTGGGGGCTTAAGATACTTATTTACCAATAGGCTACATATAGGGCATATCTACATGAGACACTAACTGCACAGTAGCTTAATACTACTGCACAATACTGTGTCATGGCAAAAACCTTGCTAATACACTACTGCACAGTAGTATTAGGCTGATGTGTAGTTAGCATCACTATAAAGCTGTGTGCTAGTGTTTCTGTGCAGTAGCGCCAGTTACTGCACATTGATTTAGTACTTGCTTATACAGATTTCCCTCGCTTTATGTGGGTTCTGTATGTGCAAATTCACTCTTATGCGATTACTTTTTTTATACCAAAAATTTGCTGTATGCGAGGTAAATTCACTCTTATGTGATCGGTGTGGTAGAAGCCTGCAGTCAGCTGCTTTGTGTGGTGCATTGTGGGAGTGATACACACCAAAGTAGTCTCCTGTGTAAATCTGTGCTCCTCGCTCATTGTCTGTGACACGTTTCTGTAGTTGCCATCCCCATTATGACAGTGCCCTGTGCTTGTGTGTACTGTCTGCTGTTGGTGAGTACAAAAATTGTCTTGTAAAAGTGGTAGAAATGGGTCTGGGGGTTGGTACAGTCGAGGTCTTGGAGCATATCCCGATTTGTTACATTGTAAAGTGGGTTCCCTTATGTGAATTTGAGTTAGGCGCCATTTTCCAGGAACACATATACAGCATAAAGCGAGGGAAACCTGTACAGGTACTATACTTAATGTGTAGTAACTATGGCGCATTAATGAATGCGTAGATGTGCCCGTAGAAATGGAAAATGGCAGAGATGAGATTTTATGTTATGGCCTCCTGGCTGTTAGTTCAGTGTAGTTCCTCTAGGTTACAGTTACTTTGTTGTAGAAGTCTTTCTCTCCCAGATGTAGTCTTTGCAGTCTAGTAGCTGGATTCCTCTGTATGTGGGTTGTCCTACAGCTTGAATAGGTTTGCAGTTGTTTAAAAAATTATCAGTTCTGCAAAAGGGTCCACAGAGGCTTCTTGAGCTCTCCAGTATATATCTTTTAAATTGCTTATGTATGTGTTATTTAGCTATTATAGAAAAGATGCATCTATTTCCTTAAGACTTATTTTTCTAAGTAATATAAGAGTAGGCCCCCCAGAAGATTGTCAGATTTTTTCTGGTGAGCTGTGTTGTCTCTATATCACTTCCAGACTAGTCTTATTAATATTTCTTCAACGTAGTTTTCAGAACACATACACTGTTGATCTACTTATTCTTATAAAATCAGATTTTCAAATAGAAATCCTGAAGCATCCTTTTGTCAGTGCAGAGGCACCTGGTAATCCTAAGAAACCTTCCATTATTGGGGGAAAGACATGTTTTCATCATAATTTATCAAAAACACTGATAGCAATAGACAAATAATAATCCATATAAAACCAGATTTTAGATGGTCAGTTTGAAGGCAGGTTAACAAATCACATACGGATAAGAAATATTGCATTAATATCCTGTAGGTGCTTACTGTTACTGAGAGTTTGAGCAATTTAGGTGAGTTTGCTGTTTTGAATAGTCATTTCAGGGTTTCATTTAGCATGACTATAGTAGTTTCTGCATTGTTAAACAGCTGATGATATTTTTTCACTTGCTTCTTTCAATAAAATTAGTATTGTTACTCTGTTTCTGCAATGTTTTTATTTAGTTTTTGTAGCTATTCCATTGTGTGTTTTCTGTCAACTGTTGTAAGCCAGGTTTCACGCTTCAGGTCTTTAGATAATATCATCTTATTGAGAATTTTGCAGAAGGATTTTCTTGTTTTCTCGGTGGCTCAGTTAAAACCAGCAAGTGGAAAATTTTCTCAGATTGTTTTTTGAAGATACTAAATAAATCCTGTATCAACCTAAGAGACAGCTGCTTTTTTCTTCTTTTCTTTTGTATTTTTGAACATGAAGTGAGGGTCATATTGATTGTAAGATCACTAAAGAAGGCTAAGCCTCAGCAAGAGTCTTCCAAAAAATGGGCTGAGATAAAATTGCATGTAATACTCAAGTATTTGACACATTAAACTAAACAGAGTTCATAACACATTTTAAGAATAGCTTTCTTTGTTGCTCATTTGACCATTGCTTGCTCCTCTAGGAAGCAGACAAGGTTATAGAGGATGGTGATCATGACTGGAAAAGAATCAGGTGACCCATGAAACTCCAGCTTGGTGAACAAAATATGTCTGTAGGATGGCTGGTTCAACACTATACCTTTATACTTAAAAAGAAATCCTATTTTTAAAAAAACACCCTGTACATCTTCTGTTTTGATGAAATACACATGCCTTCTCTTTCAAAGGTCAGGTT